AGGGGAGGAAATGAAGAATCATAGCCAAATGAGAAGTGAAAAGTCTTACCTTGTTTGTGTCAAAGGTATTAAAAACTTGATCGACATGTTGATTGGCCTTTTGATTCAGACCCTGCAGACCCAAAAGCGTCTTAAATTCATGAAGTGTTTGCAGGCCAGATGGATATTCCATCATAAATGTTCTGTACCACCTATAAGTCTCTTGTGCAGAAATTGTCATCTGACCACCAGCCAGTGATTTGCTGTTCCCCATTGTGATTCTCAGTCCACGACCATTTGCTTGGGTTTGTTTGTGGATGTTCTCTCTTAATTGAGTCCCTCATTCCTCACAACAACATGAAGCTGACATATGTTCTTGGGAAGCTACTTTAAACCTCTTATAGTTACGGGCTAAGTAAGGACAGAAAGCTAGTGGGATTAATTCATCTGTAATGTTTTGAGACTGAAGTCAATTACCACTAATGGATGGAATTGTTCCTATAACCAACCAGAGAGACAGTTTTTCTGTGAAGTAGAAAGGACAGTATTTTAGTGAATAATGTTGTCATGTCAGTGACCATACATTGTGTTTTGGCGGCTTAGATGGTTAGAGACAACCAAATAATTAGTAGTAAGTAGAGTTGTAGATTCAGTAGTTAGTATGAAGAAAAATGTATTGAGTTGTATCCTCCCCGCCCCCTCTGTTTGTGTGTGTGTGTGTGTGTGTGTGTGTGTGTGTGTGTATCTATAAATATGTTCTGGCTTTTTTTTTTAACCAGTCCTAGGGCTTGAACTCAGGGCCTGGATGGTGTCGTTATGCCTCTTGGTGCTCAAGGCTAGTGCTCTACCATGTAAGCCACAGACTTTTTTCTGGAGATAAGAGTCTGAGTTTTCTGCCCTGGCTGGCTTTGAACCTCAGTCCTCAGATAGCAGCCTTTTGAGTAGTTAGGATTACTGGCATGAACCTCTGGTGCCCCATGGCTTCTGACACTGGATTCTGCCCGTTACTTTTATGCCACTCTAGTTGCCAAGCTAATCCAAGTCCCCATACAACTGAGCTTGAAAAGTTGGAGAATGGGCTATGGAAAGTTTCCATAGATGGTAATGATCCTCAAGGATGTTGCTACCAAGAACCAGATTCCCTAGATGGGAATGTTCTGTGAATTCGTCATTCTGGTTCCTCTCTTGTAACTTTACTCCATTCTTTGACCAATTCTCATTTTTACTCAGTCTGTAGTTGGGTCTCTGAATTAGTCACAACTGATTACCTACTTAACTTACTAAACAATTGGAACCACTGGGAACTAAAGAAATGCCTGACAGGTAGTGAAGTTACTGTGATTCTGATTAATTTTGTTTCAAACATTCCAACACAAATTTCCAACAGAACACCATTTCTTTATTAGAATTAGTAGATGTGTAATAAGGTCCTAAGAACTTGGAGCTCATTATTTGGACAAATGACTTGAAACTATTAGAATGGAGAAGTTTTCTTACGTAGAGTAAGAAGAAGGAAGAGGAGGATAGTTTGGTTAGAAACTGTGAAGAGAATCCAGTGGAGGTCTCTCTTCAAATGTTTTCCAAATGTCTGCCAGAAGCAAGATTGGCTTCTTAGCACCATTAACTTTTATTGCCAGTTTTTACATTAAAGGAAAAATGGTATAGAAAGATAATTAAAGTTTATAAAGGGGCAAGAATATTCCTAGTGGAAGGAAAAATTGGGATAGATCAAGAACAGAAGGACTTATGACACAAAATTTATGTTTATCCAAATAAAGTATGTGCATTAATTATTCATAAATTATGCATATAAGTCTTAATGAAAGATTAATTGCTGATACAGAAAAACATTTAAACATTTCTAGTGTAAAAAAAATTTTTTTTTGGTCAGTCATGGGGCTTGAACTCTGGGCTTGGGCGCTGTCCCTCAGCTCTTCAGCTCAAGGCTAGCGCTCCAGCACTTGAGCTACAGCACGACTTCCAGTTTTCTGGTGGTTTATTGGAGATAGGAGTCTCACGGTCTTTCCTGCCCGGGCTGGCTTTGAACCGTGATCCTCAGATCTTAGCCTCCTGAGTAGCTAGGATTACAGGCATGAGCCACCAGCACCTGGCTTAGTATGAGAAATCTTATGATGAATACAATATTGATATCCACAAATGATGAATCCTCTAGATAAAACATGTCATAAGAAAATGAGGGAACACTGATTACAATAAATGTAAATAGGAATGTACAAAGTAGTTGGAGAAAATTCTTAAATGATATTATAGGGCATCAAGACTTGAACATATAGAAAGCTCTATCTTGATCTCGTATGTAGAAAAACTTGATTTCCAAAGGTAACTTTCCATACATATGCTATACTATGCTATACTATGCTATACTATTTCTATACTATGCTATGAATGTAAGAAATGGCAAATAAAATTGGGAAGGGGTTTTTTTAATATTAAGTTTGAATAAAAGCCAAATAAACCAGGATATGTAAGATATTCTGGAAAAAAAAATCATAAATGCTTTTCCCTTCAAATAGTGTTTTTAGAAGCAGTCTCAGTACAAAACTGACATAAAATAAAGATGGCATTATAGACCAGTAGGAAAGAGTTAAGTAATAATTGTGGGACAATGCTGTGACCCAGGGAAAATACACACATGCACACGTGCAGCGCATGCACGTGCACACACACACACACACACACACACACACACACACACAAACACACACAGAGCATGATTTCTAACTGATTTCTTATACCAAAACAAATGCTAGATGAAGCAAAGATTTAATAATATAATTACTACAATTATTATAAGAAAATTGATGTTTTAATAAGTTTAACCCAAGAAAGTCCTCTCTATGACAATAGAAGAAATTTAAAAAGACACTCAGTCAACTCTTTAAATAATCACTTATGGCTTTCAGTCCAATAAAAACATTTAAAAATGAAAAAGTATGAGAGAAGTATCTTTAGTACATACCATATGAAAAGGAAATGGTGGCTTACGCCTGTATTCCTAGCTACTCAGGAGGCTGCAATCTAAGAATCACAGGTCAAAGCCAGCCTGGCAGCAAAGTCCTTGAGACTCTTATCGCCAAAAAGCTACCAGAAAATTAGAAGTGACACTGTGGCTCAAGTGGTAGAGCGCTCACCTTGAACTGAAGAACTCGGGGACAGCACCTAAGCCTAGAGTTCAAGCCCCACGAATGACAAAAGAAAAAAAAAGGAAAATTCTTCTAATATGGAAATAGTTCTGATAAATTAAAAAGTGAATGAAGACCGAATTTTAAAATAGTATTTAAACATAAAGATATTCAAACTCATAGTACAAAACATAGACATTAAAATATCACTTTGTACCTATTTGATCAGAAACATGAGAGTGTTAATTCACTGGGTAGGTAAAGGTGTGAATGATATATGCATTATATGTATATGTGCATATATGGGTTATATACATATCTGCATGTACATATAATATATAACACATCTATATATACATACACATATATATAATTTTATGGACTGTCATTGGGCAACATGTATTAAAATTGATCAAATGAGTACTTCCTTTAATTCAGCAAGTCAACTTCTGGAAATTGACAGGTATAATTGCATATGTGTAAGATTAACATGTTTATAAGTATATTCACTATTATGTGCACATAAATCCAAAAGGAAAAATAAATCCCTAAATATCCATCATCAAATGACTAGTTAAGTAAATGTTGGTATTTTCCTGGAATGGAATAATAAGGAGCAGTTAAAATTATGGCAAGATTATCTCATCATCTCTCAGTACATCTTTATTAGTATTATTATATATACTGACCCTGGTATAAAATGATCTGAAAGGTATTTTGAGTGGAAAAAAAGAAACAAGATTTTGGATTCTATTACATCTAAATGTTCATCTGTGCTATGATTGACATGGATTCTTACACACTGTCTGGAGAAAGAGTCACAGATAATTGGTAAAACATATTAGTGTAGAAGCTCGGGAACTCAGAAAATTCACACCAACCTGTCTCTTGGGGAATGTAAGTAAAGGCACCAATTAGAGACTATATCCCACTTCATATAGTCTAAATTTTGTATTATGTACATTACATAAATTAAATCATGCAATTCTACAAGTGAGTATTAAATGTTTTATTTTGGTCCAAAATTGAAGACATTTTTCAAAAAGCAAAACAAAACAGTTATTAAAGGCAGTATAAAACATAATTTCTTATACATGTGAAATTTCTTACCTATATAATTTCTTAACTTTGTAAAATAATTCTTACATATGAGCAATATGTATATACTATGATTCAGTGGTTTGTTTACTAGAAAAGTTAGAGTGAGATTTATATTTTCAGTTTTATTAAGTTTTCTCTACAGTAATAGAATGTCTTTCTCAACATGTTTCAAGCACATGAGATTCTAAGTCCTTTGTCTAGTGACTTTTTTTTCTGTTACTAGGGCTTAAACTCAGAGTTATGTTACTAGGGCTTAAACTCAGAGTTCTGTACCACCTAAGCAAAGACTTTATTATAAGCCAGAACCCTAAGCCCTTTTACACTTTGGCTAATTTTTTTTTCTGTAGTGGTTTCATATGTTTTGTTTGGGGCCAGCCTCAAACCTTGATCCTCCTAATCTCTGATCTCCTAAATAGCTTGGATTACAGTCATGCATCACCTCACTCAGCTTCATATGGATTTTAAAAACTGCTGTTTTCATGTTTTGACAGTGAAGTAAAAGCAAAGTTAGGTGTGATATTCTTATTTATTTTCCTTAGCTGTGAATAAGAACACTCTAGAAAATATGAGAGAGCATAAGAAGAGTTAGGAAGTAAAATTAGGAAGTATATAGCTTGTAAAGCAATTCCCATCTCTATGGAGCTTTTCATAGTTAAACAAGCTAAACTTTACAAAAGAAAAGTTTGAAAAGAATCTCCTGATTTTCTTAGAATTATTTTTTTTAAGAAAAGAACCTTTCCTGACTTAACATTGAATGCCTTCATTATTTTCTGGAGACTAATGTCCCGCATCTAGAAACTCCTTATTTAAAGTCTTCCGGAAAAGTCGATTATCTTCTTGAAGCAAAGATTCTAAATAAGCATCAATCTGTTCCAGGTCACCCACTGGACAACCCTGGAAGAGAAAAGCCACAGTCACACCAGGTAAGAGGACCCATTGCTTAGCTCTGTCATCAAGGTGGTCTTCCAAGTCCACCTGTCTGTATTTAGCAATGCTTTGAAACTTTTTCAAATGCTTTCTCATTTGATCTCATTTATGCTTTCAAGTGGTTAAGAGTAATTTGTCTCCTTTAGTGGTGATGAGTTCCACTTGTAGCTCCTTCCTTCTTAAAAATGATCTAGTTGTCCTAGTTCTAAACATTCCCTCACTAGCCACCTTCTCTGCTTTATTCTGTGGCCATTGATCTGGCAAACAGAACTTTCAAGTAGGGGAATGAGTATAATTCAGTTAGGCTACACTTCTTAGGGTAACACCCTACAGCTATTTCACATGACACTAACAACGTTTGTGTCTCCACCAAACTTTCTGAATAAAATAGATACTTTGGGAAAACCCACATAATGTTTGGCATGAAGATAAATCAGTATTTTTTAAATTCAGTAGCATCTATTTTTTTCATAAACATTGATTTTTCTATTGTGAGAACTAAGAATTGTTTTTCATGTTTTTGATTACCTGAAAGCATTATCCAATTTCTATGATGTAAAATTTCTTTACTCTTTCTAAAATGTCTTGTTATTGAAACAAAAAAAAAATCACAAAACTACACCATGTGCCAGGCTCCAAAACTAGAGCTTCCCTATAAAAGCCAGTTACATGTACAAACTCTCCCAGCTGAAGAACCAAAAGAGCTCCACTCAAACCACACAGCAATAATAAATATGAAGAACCGGCTGACGTGTTGTTGATAGAAGCACAAATGCAATTACAATAATGTGAGAACAGTTAGTGTTAATCCTCCTTTATTATTTTAATAATTTAGCATTTTAATTGCTGCCTAGATCACCAAAGGGAAGGGAGATTTCTCCCTTCTGAAACCTTTTCTGCATTTCATTTTGTATTAAATACAAGAGAAAAAATCTAGGTAAGTCAAAAGATGCATACTTGAGGATAGAAAAATAAACCCACACATAAAAAATTTTAGAGATAGGATGGGAACTCAGGCAGTCTGACTTCAGATCTATGTTCCTCATATTTTATTGTGGTGTATGGTGAGTTGGTTTGTCTCTCCCCCAGCCCATTCATGGCCAACGCCGTCTTCAATCCTTCAACGTTTTCTTCAGTGACTCACCTCTGCTTCTCCAACAATTCCTGGGCCAGGACAACTCAGTCTCCCACCCCAGTCAGTACTCAGAGCTATAATCTGAAGACAACATGCTCTTTGAACTCACCATGCTGCCTTGGGTTCCTCCACTTAACTTTTAGAACCTACAGAATGGCTTTGCAATCTTGGTTATTCCATTTTCATCTTTTCTGTACAGTATCTAGTATTTTATGTGCTTTTATAGAAGATCATTCCTAATTAGTTCAATATATCATTGAGTCTCGATTTTTGATGGATTAAAAACATGCAAATAAAACTCATACTAATTATACTTACATGCTGTTTCTTCTCTAAGATTAGGGACATTCTTTATTTTTATTTATTTTATTTGCTGGTCATGGGGCCTGAACTCTGGGCCTGGGCGCTGTCCCTCAGGATTTCTTTTTAAAAAGATTTGTGAACTTAAAATTAAATATCTTGCTTTCTAAAAAACTCGCAACAAGTTTTCTATTGGACACATGGTATTGGACGAGATACCAAAGGTGATGGCTTACCCACAGCACAGATTCTGATATATGTTGAGAGAAAAAGAGAAAATAACTTTTTAATGCTTTAGTACATCTCTTCAAAGTTGGTTCACTTGGTCTTTGAAACCAACAAGGCGGTAGGTTAGGTGACTTATTCAAGGTCACTATGACAATGACAAAGTCAGGAGGGACCTGGTGACAGGATCTTTGTAAATCTCTGCAACACACACACACTTATCACTTACCAGCTGAAGCTTCTGCAGCAGCACCACCGCTTTCATACGAAGGTCATTAAGTTTACACTCAGCTTTCTTCCTTTTTTCTTCACATTGTCCCCAAGAGATTTCAGTAAGTATTGCTTTTCTGTTCACATCATAAATGAGGGACTGAATTTTTCTCTTTAGCTTTTTTTCATAATGGACCATGTATACATTCTGGATCTAGGAATTTTTTTTAAAAATAGACTCAATGTGTTTTTAAAACAGTCTAAGATCACAGTTAATTCTATAATATAGATAACTAAGGTAACTAAGATATATAGATAACTAGATAGAGATATAGATATATAAAACTAGATATAGATACAGATAGCTATATAAATATAATATCATAGTTAACCCTAACACCATAGTTAACTCCATATTACAATTCTGCACACATGTGCCAAGTGTGCATGCTACTATGTAAGTGTGGTACAGGTTACAAATTGCTGATACCTTTAAGGAGCTTACTATATGATGGAAGAGGAAGAGAAAAAGGTGGCAAATATACAGTCATTATAAAGGCTGACAGGCATACCAAGGTAGGCTTGGAAAGCTTTGCTTTGGAATGAAGAAGAAGCCCTATGAATGTTGAATTTGCTCTCCCATGAGTGATAGGAAACTCTTCAAGGCATAAGGGTGGCAAGTACCATTGCCTTCTCTCAACAGTGCCAGTAACTCACAGGCAATGACAGATGGTCAGTCATTTGGGCTAACTTGAAGATGACGTTGGGTTATTTATAACTTAAGTCTCTTGTGTCCCCATAAAGCACAGAAGGAGGCATTCTGCTCCCTCCCTCTCTTGGGTTCTTTATTGCAGTGCAAAGAGTATGGAAAGCATATGCCCTCAGCTGATTTAAAGGTCTTAGTTGTTTTCCAAGATGGTATGCTGGCCTGAGGCACCATGAAGTAGAAGACACAATGGAGGGCCAGATGCTTTTATTTTAGAATGATATTAATCACTTATATCAACATTTTGAGAGGACTGGGGTGGGGGGAATATGAGAAAGCAGATCCAGGGCAAATCCCATCACAAACATTTGAATGTTTCTGTAATGAGGAGATTTCTGTTTTCTAATATGACTAGGATGCCAGGAAATTTGTGAAATGCCCTCATCAAATGCCTTCTGGGCTTACCCTACCAATCTGTGCCTCTTCCAACACATTCCCCACTATGTGCCAACCTTCCCTGTGAACTGCCCTTCCTCATCATCTCTTAGCTACTCATTACTCTCATAAGTTTGCTTTCTTTCTGTAAAATCCCTTAAAAACAACAACAAAAAAAAATTGCCTGTCTGTAGTTCTGCTTAATAATCATTCACCAACTGCTTCTTAAATTCAAGGACTTTAATTTAATTGCAAGTGTTAGAAAGATGCACAAGGTAATCTGTGCTCCCAAGAACTTTCATGTTAACAGAAAAGATAATACAAATATACAATTATTGAAAGGGCATTGTGTCTCCACTAGGATTCTGATATTAGAGCTGAGAGGAGAGTGTGGGGTCTCCATTAAATTAAGAAACATTAAAGTCCCAATTTAGAGTACTTAACTTGGATTTATGTTTGTAACTTATATTCTGATTAGTTGCATGCTTCATATTCTATTAATTGAGAGGAGCCTGAGGGAGCAGAAACCAAAATTGCATTCCATATTAGAAACGTTGATTGTGTGGGTTTGGGTACATGTAATAGCACTTGAAAATGTGACTGCTTATGAGGTTTGCAGATGAATATGTAAAGAACTCTCAGACTTTCGAGTCTTACAATGCCTGGAAGCTTGTCTGAAGCATGAAGAAGTAGACTCTAAAATTTTTGACCTGGCTGTCCCTAGTTCTTTATTTTCTTACTTCTAGTCTGACTCCTTCCAAGCATTTACCAAGCTCATTCTTGCCTCAGGCCCTTTCCTCTTGCTGTGTTCTTAGTTTGGTAACATCAGCCCCATAGCCGCAAGAGGCTCCCTTTTTGCCTCAGGACTAGGTTGGAACATTAGTTCTTCAGCTGCCCCTTACCCATACATCTGAACTTGCCTTCCTCTTCTTCCAACACACCAGCCTTGAACAGTTATTTAGAGCACATCAAATTATATATTTACTTATTTGAATGTTAGTTTGTTATTCCACATCGTGTTTATTAGTGTTTTCATTTGCCCCTCCTTCTGGCATGTATCTTCCATGTAAAATACACTTGGTTTTGTTCATTGCTCCATTTTTTGAGACAGAAAGCAAATATTAAATAGTGAGGAGTCATAGACCAGACGTGTATAGCATCTACTCCCAGGGAACTGCAGACCTGCCAATCCTTCCTGCTGGGCTACATGCAGAAAATTTGGAAGGTATCCACCTTTCTATTTGTGTAGACTCATGTGTATATTGAGTAATTTGCAACCCAGGCTAATTAACATATCATTATCTAAAGGCTTAAACTTTCATCATTTTTTGGTATGGTGAGTATATTCAAAATCTGCTCTTCTAACTATTTTGATTTGTAAAATATATTATAGTTAATTACTTTGAACATCTTCAATTCACCCTGCAAGAAGCAGCTCACCTAGACAACGACCATGTATCCCCCCTACCCCCACCAAGAAGCTTCCCACATGCTTCCTGTGGACTCTCCATGAAAACTCAAGGTCATTTCTTCCTTTTCTTTGAGAGGCAAGTAATTCAACTCAGCTATAATAAGGATACAGGCCACATATAGTTTACATGTCACCAGTCACTTAAGAGTTCTTAGTTGTCAGAACTCTACAACATTAGACTTTATCATTCTGAATAATAAAAGCCAAGAAATATTTTTCTTAAAACAAAAATAACCAGAATAAACAAAACCCCCAAAGTAAAATTAAAATTAGATATATAATATTAGTAACATCATTATATGAAAAGATGGCTGTATTGCTTATGAATCATAAAAAGGAGCATAAGATGAAACACTTGAGTAGACCTGAAGAGATGTTGAATGAAGAAAGACAATTAGAAAATAACTCAGGTTACATAATTTCACTTCTACCACTTTCCAGAAATGGCAGGATGATAGTAATATTAGTGCCAAAAGTTGGAGGGTTTTGTGGGCACAGAGTTGTGTGACCATGAAAGGAGAGTATCAAGGAGCTATTTTTGTAATGATGGAAGTTTTGTGATTTGTTTTAAGTAGTGTTTACCCAAACCAAGACATCTGATAAAAGGACATAGAACTACACATAGCCTACTCCTAATAGCACTACTAAGTTTCCTGATTTTGATATGCACTCTATTGTAAAATCTGACCACTTGAGAAAACAGTGATGGCTTCCCAGGACTACCTGGTTAAGTATCTGTAACTTCCTATGACTCATGCATTATATATTTAAAATTAAAAGCAAGAGAAGAATAAAATTATACCTCAACATCAAGAATATTTACATAGCACACACACTGCATTAATAGTCTCTACAAGTTCATTCTTCTATAACCAACAAGCTATATTTCCTTCAAACAATACTATCCATGTTCTTGATTTATTAGTCTGCTTTCCTTGGGTTAACGTCTTCTGAGGGTGCCTAGATGACAATAGTGGCAAATTTTAACGCTCAATGAAAAAAAAAGATATTTTAATTAAGGTGAGGAGACAAATTGGAACAAGTTGAGAGGTTTAGTTCTGCTGGTTAAACCCACTCTTGAAAAGGTATTGTGGCAGATCAGAAATGGAATTCTTTCCACACTATAATAATTCAGAATAGAATTATGTTTTGAAAGAAACACTATTAAATTGAAATTTAAGTTTTCTGCCTTAAATTTAGAAAGTTCAGCTTGAGCAATTTTGTAGCTCTAAAATCCTAACAAGTTTATATGAAAAATAAGATACAAATATGGCTCTATAGATTTTGGACCAGATAAACAGGGATATAATATGCACATGTGTGTGTGGGCAGACATCTTGACAGGAATAATCAACTTTGGTTTAATACACAAATATTAAATCCAGATACATTTGAAGGTACTTACTGAATGCTGTTGTGACACAAGGTCTGATACAACAATATTACTAACTTCCAGGGCTATAATCTAGTTGAGAGCATGAAAATAAAATGAAAGAAACTGAGCAGAGGAACAGACATCTTCAAGAGAGCAACAGCCAGGAGTAGTGGCTTATGCCTATAATCCTACTCAGGAGGCTAAGATCTGAGGCTTCAGATTCAAAGAGAGCTCTTGGAGACAAATCCTTGAGATTCTTACCTCCAATTAACCAGTAAAGAGCTGGAAGTTTAGCCTGGCACTGGTAGCTCACACCTGTAATACTAGGTACACAGGAGGCTGAGAGCTGAGGATCACCGTTCAAAGCCAGCCCAGGCAGGAAAGTCCATGAGATACTTATCTCCAATAAACCACCCTAAAACTGGAAGTAGAAGTGTTGCTCAAAGTGTTACAGTGCTAGCCATGAGCAAAAGAATTCAGGGACAGCACCCAGGCCCTGAGTTCAGGTCCCACAAACAACAAAAACAGAACAAAACAAGGTTATTCAACGATACACCATCATCTACAGAAGAGATGAGGCAGTCCCTTTGATTATAGTTGTGGTCTGCACAATATCAGGACTGCCATTTGCTTCCTATTAGTTACAGATCTGCATGTTGTTACAGTAGTTTTCCAGAAGATGTCTAAAAGCAACAGAAAGCAACGCTAATGTATGTGCTAGTGGTGGACCTGATATACAAGGTCCTCAGAGAGATAATGAGTAATGGAGACTTAACATCTGTCTGTTGCTCCTGATGCCATGAAAAGTTGTTGCACCTAGAAGCCCCATGAGTTCAAACCCCAGTCTTGCCAAAAAGAAAAAGGAAAGCTATTGCACCTATGCAATGTCAGAGAATGAGTATGGGAGACTCAATGGTCATCTCAGCTTTAATATGAATCCCCTATGTTAGCTTGGCCAACCTCACTTTGTGCCAAGTTTACTTTCCCATTGTGAAATAAGAGAATTAAGGCCTTATGATTTTTAGCTATTTCTGTAATAGGACTGAAAGACACCATGGACTCTATTTTCCTTCTAAGCTTGAAAAAGCAGATCGACAAAGGCTGGTGGTATAGGTTAGTAGTAGAATGCCAGCCTAGTAAGCTCCAGGCCCTGAATTCAAAGCCATAGTGCCACATAAACAAAAGAACAAATACACAGATGACATTATTTTACACTTTTAAATAATCTATGCAGAGAGAGAAGTTTGAAGTATAATAAATAAAAATAGTAGACTTGATTGGTTTGGAACTATGGATTATTTTTTTTAAATTCCTTTCTTTAAATTCCTTAGCATTGTTTTATATAACTACTTTTATAATGGAAAAATCATAAACTTAAAATAAGATACTAGAAAAAAGGGATATCAAATTGTCTGAAATAATTTAAAGCCTTAACCTACAATTTCTGTTTTAGACTATTGTTTCAAAGATTCAGTAGCTATATTTCTTAGATTCAGAATGCCCTGGTTTTTGTTCAAAATACAGTTCTCCTCCAAGTGTTTCATAAGCTCTATATTATGGAAACAGTTACATTTTAAAAGTCAAAAAGAGTTGTTTTTTGATATGTGATATACTATAAATTAATGTGTCTTGATAAGTAAATGCAAATTTGATTTCCTTCTAAACCTAACATTTACCAATGTGTATTGTTTCCCCTTTAGAACACAGGGTCATTCAGAATATAAATGGCTACATTGAGAGGAAGCTTACCTGGTTGAAACATACTTTCAGCTTTTTGTTTTTCTGTTCTGGGCATTGCTCCAGCTGTTTTCATAAATGATAATAAAAAAGGATATTAACTTTAGAGAGTGTGTTGTCTACAATAGAGTTATTATATCCAAATATCTAGTACTAAAAGCATCAAAGCCCAGAACTAGCCAGCACTGGTCCTACGGGCCTTTTAAGCCTGAGACCAATTTAGTTAATTATATTTTAGCAAATTATATGTTAGTAAATTACATTTTCCTTTATTCCAAAAGAAAGATTACATAAATAAAATGTTTTCAAATGTGCAGATTTACAAATCAAGGTGAAGGAAATTTAGATGATGAAATAATGACTATTCGAAAGATGATATATGAGGGAAAGTTAAGGAAGGGGTGACATTGTACAAAAAAACTGAAACATACTCATTACCTCAGTTATGAAATAGTAACCCCTCTGTAAACACCTTAACAATAAAAGTATATTTTAAGAAATTTTGAAGGTGATATGCAGAAAGCAGTTGGAGTCAGATACTCTGGAAGGGAGTACCAGAGAAAAAGAGTCATGAGCATATGGGAAAATTTGGAAAGTCAGGTATTAGCTAATATCACCTAGAAATGGCTGTCAGTAGACAGAGGAACACAATACAGAAATGAACTCACAAACATGATGGAATCCAAGGAGAAAAGAACTGCCAAATAAAAGATAAAGAGAAAGGAAGCAAAGAAATGAGAAATGTGTCATCATGGAAGATACAGGAAGTCTTTCAAGAGAGAGGAAGTGAGCAACTGAAAATCAAGTAAAGTAAATGACTACTGAATCACTTGGCCCAGCAGTCACACCTGGCTATGACAAGAACAATCCCATCATGTAGTGCAGAGGGGAAAGCATTAGAGGTGGTAAGCAGGTAGAAACAATTACAGGTTCGAAAATTAGAGAATACCAAGATTCATTGGGGTATATAGCAAACCAGTCTTGTTACTAACTGGGTTCTTTTCACTGACAGTCTTTCCACGTCTGTCAATCAATTCTACAAGCTCTGAGGCTTAGAGAAACAGGGGCTCTAAGCTTCTAAGGTAGTTGATCTTCACAGTTCTCAGCCTAGCTTTTCAGGACAGGATGCTAAGGAGAGAGGGAAATACCTGCAACCTGCCATTCTCACTCTGGAAGATGTTCTCTACTGTTTTTATGCCTCATTTCACAGGCAGCTTTATGTGCATCACTCACTTGTAAGAATCCTGTCTTTGTTCACTTAAGTCCTGCTAGCAGGTAACATTTCACCATTTTCTACACTGAAGATCAAACTTAGACTATTCATTTCCTCAAAGATTTAAAAACAAATGGACAACTTACCTCAGAATTTTCCAAAAGTTCTTCTACAGATGTGTATTCAAATCCTGGTGGTAGCTGACAGTCAGGAACAAAATACTGAAGAATTTCCCTAGGAAGACAAGCACAGCAGAAGAATGAAGGTACCAGGACAAGAGATGTAGCACTCACCTGTCCAAAGTGGCCATTCTAATTCCTGACAAAGATGAGCACCAGCTACTCCTGAGGACTGTATTTTCCAAAACTGAGTGCCCTTCAGGACATATAGACTAGAGAAAGAAACATAGGTGTGGCTACAGAAGGGCTGCCTTGTTGGGATGGTAGAAATGTTGTGATTCTTTACTGTGTGTCAATGTCAGTGTCTTGATTGTCCGTACTTTTGCAAGATGAAACTGAGTGAAAACTATAGTGTTTTTAATGCATGATCTAGAATGGAACATAAATGTTTAAGTAACTATACATCCAAACTCTGCTGCAATACTCATACATGTTTATCTAAGTATGACAGTATGGACAGCAGGAAAAAGTTTCTATCAATGGATAAAAGCATTACATTTCAAACAAGAGACTCTGGGCTTACATTCCAGTCTTGTCTTTAGTAGCTGAGTAATTTGCCTTTGTGAATTTTAATGTGAATTTTAATGTGCTACTTGGTTTCTCTAATCTTCATTTTCTCATCCACAAAAAATATATAATACACATCTCACAAATTTGTAGGAGTAAGGAAACTAATTAAAAAGCAGCTGAGTTAATGCCTAAAATATAGTAAAGACTCAAAAAATGATACTTTCACTATTAAGAGAGCCTGGCTTACTCGTAAAATGAACTTATCATTGGATACATCTATTTTCCATTTTAAGTGCTACTCATACATTTATTCAGATGTATGCAGGCACACACATATTTGTCAGTGCATAAATACAGTTTATTGCATATTTCCCATTTTACTCAACAAATCATATGTCTGAAACTTAAAACTAATAAATAAGAAACCAGACTAAATTCATACTATCACACTTAGATAAACATGTATGGATATGGCAGCAGAGTTTGGATGTATAGTTACTTAACTTTCTTTCCAATAGGTAGGTACTGACAATAGGTCTGATTCTTTTATTTGTTTTTATGTGGTTACTGGGGCTTGACCTTAAGGCTCTACACTTGTGTGAATTGTTTGCTCATGATTGTTGTTCTACCATTTGAGCCTTGTCTCTATCCTGGCATTTTGCTACTTATTTTACAGATACAGTCTGGCTAACTTTTCTGATCTGGCTGGCTTCAAAATGCAATACTCCATGTCTCAGTCTCTTGAATAGCTAGGCTTACAGGAATGAGCCACTGGTGCTTATCTCCCATAGTTCCACATCAAAGAACAGTATATCCAATTCAGTAGAGCTATGAGACATCTCAAAGTCATTCCATTAAATTTAGCCAGTAACATTAACATTCAGTAGAAGAAAAAAAAACACACACAAAAAAACAAGAATTTCCAGTGCTTAGGAAGCTTAAGATAATATAAAAAGTATCTGTAATTATTTTTACCTTAAATTAGATGTGAGTTTTCTCACTATTTCCTTGACAGATGTGCTCTGAGACAATGTCATTAGTGAAGAAGAAACATGGTCACCAACACTCACAGAAACCTTAGCTTCATGTCCAGAACTTGGACTAATATCTTCCCTTGGCACCCTGGGCAAGCTAAAGTTACAATTTGAAAATAGGAACCGGGTTAACTATCATACTAATCATTTCTGAAACATTCACTCCAACAGGTGAAATGTCAATATAAATGAAAGCAAGGATTATAAGTTGGTGCTAAAAGTTCCATCTTGTGTAGTTACACAGAAAAATCTTACCTACAATAATTGCTATCTACTCATCATATGTAAGCTTCTAAGTTTGAAGTTAGTCATAATAAATTGACTGAGGCTAAATTATCCTTAACAGCATGGGCCATCTATCCCTTGGATATTTTTTTGTTTGGGTTTTTTTTTAACTGTATTTTTTTTTGTCTTTTCTTTTTTGGTACTGGGGATCGAACCCAGGACGTTGCACTTGCTAGGCAAGCGCTTTGCCACTGAGCTACATCCCACCCTCCCTTGGATATTTTTTATGGTAAGTAACTCAAGTTTTGCTTTCAACTAGGAGGAAAAAGAAGTAGCTAAGATAAATATTTCCTGAATATCTGGAGGAAAGTTAAGTAATTGTGGCATCAAAAGCTTAAGGGCCACTCAAGGAAGAATGAGAAAGTCAGAGCTTGGTGGAGGAGTAAGCAGAAAATGGAAAGAGAGACTGAGACAGGTCAGTGGTTTGTAGCATGGGGAGGGCAAGATTTCCCACATATCAGAAAGACGATCTGATCCAAGTTTTAACAAGATACCTTGTTATAGAAAACAAGTTGTAGTTGGGTGCACCAATGGCTCACACCTGTAATTCCAGCTACTAAGGAGTCTGAGATCTGAGGATCACAGTTCAAAGCCCACCCAGGCAGGAAAGTCCATGAGATTCTTATCTCCAATAGACCACCAAAAAAACAGAAGTGGCACTGTGGCTCAAGTGGTAGACCTCTAGCCTTCAGCTGAAGAACTGAGGGACAGCACCCATGCCCAGAGTTCAAGCCCCACAACCACCAACAACAACGAAAAACAAGTTGTAAGGAGGGCATCTAAGTTAGTGTGGTACATTGTGAGACCAGAGCCCTGAGTTTGATGGGATCAGACAAACACAAGACGCCAACAGTGGTAAAAACACAGGAGGTGAAGATGGGTAAGTGGATAAAATAAAAGTTTATAGCATTTTATTTCAAGTGATAAGATTTTTGTGATCCTTTCATGCTGACATCCATAAATTAAGATCACAGCTCTAGAGAGTTTTATACGTTTACACTAGGAGGGCCTTTTGAAAATCTGATAGTAGTTAATATCAAATGTAATGTGCTTCTACTGTCAATAGTTCATTAGCATTCATTACACTGTCTAGCTGGCTTTTTAAAATTGAGGACACATCAATGAATGCTTGTCTGCTAGGGAACACTCAAACAAAGTCTAAAATGCTCATTAATTATAACTCCCTTAATGCTGAAATTTTACTGAGAAAATCTTTTATTTTATTTAATTTTACTTTAATGATACTGGAAATTCATGGTGATATTAGGAGTGGTGGTAAAATTCACAGAAGCAGAATGCTTTCTTCTCAGAACTGGTGGCTTTTATCAGCAATAATAGAATCTACTTCATAGAGTTGTGCTGAAATTAAATGGCAGATATAAAGAGCTTAGCCCATTGCTTAGCATCAGTAAGTACTCAGCAAGTAGTACCTAAAAATTGTTAGTATGATTATCCATATCATTTTCCTTGGGACCAAAGTAGGCTGAGGAGGTTCCCAGAGAGAGAAGTCCTTGCTTTGGATATTGGATTGTAATGGTGTTGTAAAAAATATTTTAGACATAGAGACCAAGAAAGTTTATTGGTAAAGCAAACCAAAGCAAAGGAAAGGAAAAGGCCGTATATACCCAGACATGCATGAGGGTGCATGTAAAGAGGAACACTGGCATCAAGGGTATTTAAGATAAAAAGGTAGGTTGAAGATTGATTTACATTCTCTTAGGTTGAGTGTTCCCCTTTGTTCTGGACACTTGGTATGCTTTTTATTTATTCTTGCTGTAAAACTGTGTAATAACTGGAACCTGTGGCATCGATGGTTACTTTCCTGGAATACACCTTAAACAAAGGATGGGTTTCACCAGAAGCTCATTTTAAGACAGATGTCCTTACTCAATATAAATAGTTTCCCTTTGTAAACACTTCTGTGATCAAAGGGGTCATTTGACTACATGTTTCATTCCCAGGATAAGTGTCTTTCTTTAAGATACTTTTATTTGCTTTCCAGAATTGAACTTGCCCATGTGGTCAAGTGGCACAGTCAAAATGAGGGAGTTTTTTGTTTTGTTTTTGCTTTTGTTTCTACTATATATTTCTGCTCAGTGAAGGAATGCAAAGCTTAAAGCAAAACAAAACAAAGAGAAACAAAAGCCAGTTCATTAAATTAAGCTATGCAGTGTTTGTCTCTGAGTCCCTGACTCCATTTTCCCATGTTTACTTCACCTGCCTCATGATTACTACTGTTAGTAATGTGTTTCTTAAATTCCTTCCCTTAAGATTGTTTAGATTGGATTGCAGTCTTAATATTTATATTGTGTTAATGAGTCAACAGTGCTACAAAAATATACATCTTTGGGACTAGGAAGGTGGCTCAGTGATAGAGTGATTGCCTTGCATGCATGAGGCCCTGGGTTCGATTCCTCAACAGATTCCCATAAGCAGAAAAAGCCGGAAGTGGTGCTATGGATCAAGTGGTAGAGCGCTATCCTTGAGCTGAAGTGCTGCGGGACAGCACCCAGGTACAGAGTTCAGGCCCATGAGCGACAAAAAATAAAATACAACTTCATAAAAGCAATGTGTGGGGGCTGGGAAGGTGGCTCAGTGGTAGAGTACTTGCCTTGCATGCTCGAGGCCCTGCGTTCGATTCCTCAGCACCACATAAGAAAAAAGCCGAAAGTGGTGCTGTGGCTCAAGTGGTAGAGCGCTAGCCTTAAGCTGAAGAGCTGAGGGACAGTGCCCAGGCCCAGAGTTCAGGCCCCACAACGGACCCAAAAACAAAAAAAAAAAGAAATGTGTGAAACACACACAATTATGTTTAGACGTTTGAATGTGTCAAATAAATACTGAACACTAACTATGAGGCAAGTGCCATTCTAAACACAAGGATGAACCCCATGGACTCTGTTCTATGGAGTGAATTCACTGACTGGAAAATGAAGAAAATGCTTAAATTAAAAATGGTGAAAATAAATAGATGATAGAAGGAGATATTATTGAATTCTTTAAAAGATATCCAACAGGATTCCTGATCTCATAGTAGAGTGTGACTGGTCTTTTGGGAATGAGTTTTCAGGAATGACTTCTCAGAGATTCTGATATAGACACAGGACACTGTTTCTGTCCAAATGAGGCTTGTTTACAATATGAGGATAGATGTCCAGTCGGATGATTCCATCTGACTGTGAAAGGCTGCTTGTGTGTCAAGGCATAAATGTCATTCAGCATATAATCACTGAAGATGAAGGAATTATGACGCAACCTGGTAACAGCCGCAGTGATTTGGTAAACATCTCCATTTGTCTGAGCATGTAGCAAGGCCCCAAAGAAGAAACCACTGAGCTAAATAAGACCGAATGCAAGAGCGATGGAGACTTGTACACAGGTTGTAGATAGAATTCAAATGAAGGAGGAAGCACAAAGAGACAGAAGGTCGTGTTAAAGCTGCAAGTAATTTAGAACTGCTGGGAAGCAAGATGGCAACTAAGGAGAGTGAAGGGAAGTTGCACCATGCTAAGGAATTTGCATTTGACTTTGAAGATGGTAGGGAGAAGGAGAGAGGTGGATTTGAGTGGAGGAGTCATTAACTCCCCTGTCAACACATTCGTGCAAATGAGAGCTCCTCTGTTGTTATTCCTGCCATTATTTCACGGTGTCTCTGGGCACAGTCTGTATGTCTGGAAGCAGCCTAGATAAGTTTGTAGAAGAGGTAAGTAGTTGTTTCCTTGAAAACATGTTTTTAAATTCTAAACGATATTGAAAATATTCAGAGATTGGGTTGGGAGAGATGGGGGAGGATAATGAAAGAGGTGATATCAATCAAGAAACATTATACTTATAAACTGATTTGTTGAATAGCAGCACCTTTGCACAACTACTTTTAAAAAGTGCATTGTGAGACAATCTGCAAGTTATTGGCTTAATTTAGCTGACGCCATATCCGTGTTTCAAACCACCATGTTGTATACCATAAATATATATAATTTTTCTATTAAAACAATGTGTATATAACAAGTAATAAGAAATAAAATGTTATTCACCAGAACAAAATAAATAGAAAATGAGCATTTTTCTTTTTTAAAAAAAGAAAACATCCAGTTGATTTTGAGAGTGACAAAATTCTCGTCAAGTACATTCTAGAATGTGAAGATTATAATTACATGTATGTTTAACAGTAAGTCAATGAGTCACACAGAAAAAAAATATCAGTTCATTAATTCATAGTCACCTTAGATTAAGTGTGACATTTTCAATACCTTAGCTATTGTGGCCATTTAAATTGCTTACTTGCCCGTTCTCTTTCATTTTTTTTCCCAGATCTTCACAAAAGAAATAAAACAGGCTGGGAAAAGGTGAATTTCTGCTCTTTATGTTGTAAAATGTGGTTCCGTTCTTATTGCCTTTGTTGCTATTATTATCTTTCTTCTTGTATTTAAACATTGATAATTACTTTTCAACACTATAATTTCACCCACTTGGAAGTTGTACAATTATACACTTACCTTTTCTGGTTAAGCAATGAAGATTTTCCTTTTATTGCTGGAATACCATTGTACTGCTTTTTTTCTTCAAAAAAGAAAACAGGCAAAAGCGAAGTCCATTACATTTTGATGTTCATGCAGTAAAATGAACCAAAAGAAATACTGGTTCATTAACTACTTATATATAAATATATGGTTAGACATCCATTTGTAAACTGTACCTATTTTAAAACTATCTGCAATATGTTCATAAAGACATTTATAATAATTTTAATAAAATATATAATATATATAATAATTGAAGAACCTGTGTGAGAACTTGTACTGTTTTACTGTGTTTATTACCAGAGTATAGAGGAGTGAACAGCTCTTCTTAACTGTCAAGACAACCACTAGTCTCCCTCTATTATCCCATGTGCTTTCATGCTAGGTTCAAGTTGAAAACATTTTGACAAATCTTAAATGAAAAAGTTCAACTTGTTTAAGGCAAGAACACACTTGTAGTTTCTAATTGAGCTTCTTATTCAGGAATCTCAGGATTATAGCTAAAGAGAGACTGATGGTTTGTTTCCAGTCCATAGTTCTAGTGCAGATCTCCAACCCTTGGATTGGCTAAGAGTATCTTGTGGACAGTATGAGCAATGATTCAACATATCTTTTATTTTTTTTTTTTATCTATTTGTATGACACTTTGTTATAACTGCCCACATATTTTGTTCTGCTAAGTACATTTGTTGTCAACAATTTCAGGGCTATTGAAGGCCAAGTAAGCAGAAAAGAGCATCAAGGGAAGCTTAAGTGATAGGTGAATAGCTGAGGACTTACTAAGCTCCTTCTTGAAAACTATAAAAGAGAATGGATAAACAGAGGTTTTCCAAGCACACAGTAGACACTACTGGTTTTACTGACTGATCTGCATTCAAAGTAATAAAAAATAAAATTAACAGCCAATGAACACATAATTATAATCATTTAAGAATATTTCACAATTTATTTCTGCCCAATCCAGAATATGTATTTAAAATTAAAAACAAATTTTAAGATTTATATTATAATTTTTTCAGCACAATTTGGAAATCTAACAGAACCACACTTGGAGGCACAGTAACAGTTAGATACAGCTTAAGAAAACATTTGCCTGGGGCTGGGAAGGTGGCTCAGTGGTAGAGCACTTGCCTTGTATGCTTAAGGCCCTTGGTTCGATTCCTCAGCACCACATAAGCAGAAAAAAAGCCGGAAGTGACGCTGTGGCTCAAGTGGTAGAGTGCTAGCCTTGAGCTGAAGAGCTGAGGGACAGCGCCCAGGCCCTGAGTTCAGGCCCCACGACTGGACCCAAAAACAAACAAACAAAAACAAAAACAAAAACATTTGCCTTTAAAATGAAAAGATTGTTACAAAAGAAATCCTGGTGTGGAACTGCAGATTATTTTAATTAAGATGAGCAAGAAAAAGTGTGATTTCTTAATAACTTAACTAAGGTATCCAAAAATAAAGTTGTGAATGAATGGCCAATATAGTTAGCAACAAAAATGAGGGAAGGGCTTATCACTACGAGTGAACACAATATGATGGAGTGGGTTGATAGACAGAAGGACTGGTAAAAATCAGTCTCAGCGAAGGATCAGAGACTCACCAAGGGGACTGTAACATTTTGAATAAAGACAATGGCAATGAAAATAACTCACACTGTCATTTGGGCCCAGTGATATGCTAAAATCAAAGAGCATATGCATAATACTAAAAATGTAATATATAATAAAGGAATCATAATGAGTTTAATTTGTTTCCAGGTTTTTTCTATCCAGGGAGATTACCATGAGCTTAGATACTGTAAAATGTCAACTCTGTTATAAATAAGTTCAAGTCTTAAGCTGAAACACAATGTATCCTATGAACTAGAAAGAATAAATACATTTGCTAAAATAGCCTCGGAAATGACATTGCCCCATTTGTTAGGAAATGGAAAGACTTGGAAAAAATTATATTAAGTGAAGTAAGCCAGGCCCAAAGAAACATAGGTCCCATGGTTTCCCTTATTTGCAATAACTAGCATATGTCTGAGATAAGCAGAAAAGCTCAGATAAGTTGATGTTAGGGGAATGAACCCCAAGATAAGTATTCAATTGTTTTTTGTTTTTGTTTTCCTTTCATACAATTGTTTCTACCATATTTATAAGATGATTTCTTTGTTGCTTTGTATGTCCCTCTCCCACGGTATAACCCCTGTTTTCATTGTATTTGATCTTGGTATAATTTGTGGAGGGGAAGGGAAAAACAAATCATTTAACTAGGGATACAGGTGGACCCATTGTAACAATGAGATGTACAAGTCGTTATGTCGAAAAAACGAACTTTACAACTTTGGTGGGGGGTGTGGGGGGAGGATCAGGTGAGGGGAGGGGAGGAGTATGAGAAGGGATGGGAAGGAGAAACAAAGAGGAGGCAACAATGCTTGATAAGAAATGTACTCATTATCTTGCCCATGTAATTGTAACTCCTCTGTATGGTATTCTCACAACAACAACAACAAAAAAAAAACAGCCTTGGAATCTCAGAGGAAACATGAAAAGCATTAAAGAATGAAAAATGCAAAATAGGGGCTGGAGGAAGTGGTTCATGCCTGAAGTCCCAGTTATCTGGGAGGTAGAGATTGGGAGAGTTAAGCTTTGAGGCCAGTGTAGGCCAAAAAAATAAGTTAACAAGAGTCCTATCTCATCCATCGAATGGCATGATGTTTCATAGTGGTTAACCAGTTACCAGGGAACATAGATAGGAGGATCATGGTTTAAGGCCAGTCCTAGATTAAAAAAAAAAAAATATGCATGTCTATATCAAAAAAAACTTAACAAAAGCAAGAAAAGTGTGAGGGTAATATAATTTTCAAAACTGTCCCTCAGCACTTCAGCTCAAGGCTAGTGCTCTACCACTTGAGCCATAGCGCCACTTCTGGCTTTTTCTGCTTATGTGGTGCTGAGGAATCGAACCCAGGGCCTCATGCATGCAAGGCAAGCACTCTACCACTGAGCCACCTTCCCAGCCCCCATATTTTGGGAAAATTGTATTCCTGATACAAATTCTCAGCAAAATACTAAATGGAACTCAGTGTGTAGAGAGTGGCAAGAGTCTGTGGGAATTCCCTACAGTGTAGCAGTTTGGGGAACACTGCTCTTGGCAAAGAAGGGGCTTCCCTAGCCCTAGCCCCACTTCTAGAACAACCAATCTTTGTAGGTACAAATTGCTGGCAAATTCCGATCTGTATGTCAGGTGTTGCATAAGGTACAGGGAAAATGGTCCAAGTATTAGGGCTAATCTATGCAAACTGGATATTTTTACCTCTGCTTAAAAGTGGAATCTCCTGTTTTTCTTGTTTCAAGGCAACATCAGTGTCATCTTCATCCAGAATCTGAAAAACAAGCTCTTTATTTAAAACTGTGTGTGTTGTGTTATAAAGGTTGGGCAAAGACCTTGCAAAATGGTGCTCATAGAGAAGGACAAAATCCTAACACTTTACGCACAGTAAGTTTGTGCACACCATTTGGAAGATGGAGAACTGTGGATGGAGAAAATGATAGTGTCATGCATCCCAAGATGACTGTTTAGCAGTGTCATTTTTACTCATCACTTCTGCAAGAAAATATTCTTGCATTTCTGTCAATATTTGTACAGACATTGTAAAACTTCACATTTTACAGGTTATAAGAATGTCTCCAACAAAGTCAAGTGATTCACCAGGAGCAACCGGAGAATGTGGAGGAGGCTATGACATGCTGATTGCTGCAAAGCAGACATAGAGTAGGAGCTCAACATCATGCAAGCCTGGGGAAGAATGCCCTAAAGCATGGTGGGTAAGCATGTAGGGATGGGTTTGGAGAGCTCATGTAGGGGAAGGAGAGTATCATCTTCTGACAGAACTCCAGGGAAGCTGCTAAAAGGGGCTCAGAACCTTAGTGTGTTGAGTGCAGAGGACTGGTGTCTGTGTGAGGTGGAGAACTGGAAGAGTAGAGACAGGATCTGCTCCCATTTGGGGCATTCTCTTAAGGTCAACTTTACAAGGGTCACATAAAACAAACTTAAGTTTTCAGAATACAGTTCTTTGGAAGAGAGACACACAGGAAAGGAAAGAGAAAAGGAGGGATGGAAAGAAAAAGAGAGAGGAGGGAATAGGAGGGGAGAAGGAGAGGAGAGGAAAGGTGTGGGGAGGAGAGGGGAGGAGAGAAGAGAAGAGGGGAACAGAGAGGGGAGGGGAGGGAAGATGAGAAAAATGTCCTTTTTATCTATTCTGTGTCTCTTATCTTGATATTTGGTGTAAGTCATGGAGATGCCAGGTTTTCTTACGCTTACTCGTGATATGGAGAGGATGATGTCAATCTACTTTTTCTTTTCCCTTCTCTCCCAGGAAACAAAGGAACATAACACTATGAAAACTGCTGTCAGCAAGCAGGTTAAATGGGCACATATGTAACCTAGCAATGAAATAACTGGGTAGCTGTCCATCATTGCCATTTTTTATTTCATCCAAATAGAAAGAGAAGCCTTGCAGGCAGGAGAAAATAAACCAAGCTGCTTTTAAGCTACTGTTCTTCAATATACTTTCATGCTTATATTATAAATAAATGCATACTTCCCAAAGTAATCAAAATGCATATTTTACAAAAATCTTGAAAGTGACTTTAAAATGTATACCTTACTTATTTCTGATAGCATAAAATTAAAATTCTCTTCTGCTGTGCTGACATTCGAGGAAAAGCTACATGACATTAAGTGTGCCAACCTAGACTACATAAGGGCTTTTGGAGGACAATTTTTTAAGTATGTAGATAGCATAGACTATTTCTACAACGGTTAACAGCAACCACATGAAGCACGACACATACTTTTTGTTTTAATCTGTGACAGTCCTATTTAAGATGTGAGAAAACATGTCTTCATTTTCTTTGGTGACTTTCTTTTTCTTATGATGAAATTAGACAAGACCTTGTCCAATGGAAGTGTAAAGGTTAATAAAGATGGCACTACTTCCAGCAGAGAACATTAACAGAGCTGCATGGAATCAATTATTCTTTCATTCTCTGTGTTTAGTTCTCTGCTTTGAGTTTTGTCTTGTTGGGGCTGCTTCTACTCAGCTGTCATATGCCTTCAAAGATGTCACTTGTCCACAGACTCATCATGTCTACCATAGAAGAGATGTCCTGTCTTTTCCTATCCTGTAGTTGCCTTATTCTTTAGATTGCATGTATACGCCGCCATCTGAAACATTTTTAGGTAAATTCACTCCCTACAGTGTTTTCTTTTGAATAGCTTTGCGTCACTATCTGATTTCCTAAGGTGCTGCCTTTTGCAACAGAGCAGTATAGCTGGGAAGGTGTGGAAGGGTTCATGATGAGGCAAGGCATGAAGTTATCTTTCTGATGACATTATTTGTATATTTTCACCTTTTTTTTTTTGCCAGTCATAGGGCCTGAACTCTGGGCCGGGCGCTGTCCCTCAGCTCTTCAGCTCAAGGCTGGCGCTCTACCACTTGAACCACACACGGTGCCACTTCTGGCTTTTTCTGCTTATGTGGTGCTGAGGAATCGAACCCAGGAACCCAGGGCCTCATGCATGCAAGGCAAGCATTCTACCACTGAGCCACCTTCCCAAAGAATATATATTTTTTTGTCGGTTGTGGGGCTTGAACCCTGGGCCTGGGCGCTGTTCCTCAGCTCTTCAGCTCAAGGCTAGCGCTCTACCACTTGAACCACTGTGCCACTTCCTATTTTCACATTTATAAGGTTTTTGCACCTATTTCATTATAGAAACATCCTTCAGTTCCTCAGATTTGTCTATAGTTTATGTTCTGCAGTTTCAGGATATCTTTTTTTTTTTCTCTTAATTACTTTTAAGTAGTTGTACCAAGGAATTCCATTTAACAAGTAGTATATGAAGACAATACATCCTAATCAGTCTCTCTCTCTTAAGATGCTTACCTAATCATGAAATAAACAGCACAGTAAATGAGATTACAGCTAAGACTTAACATGAGACTTAAGACACCTTAGTTGCAATTATGTTAATAATAAGCAGAGTAAGATTTGCCAGTTCTCCAAAAGGATGCAATGGGTCAAATCACACAACATGCACAGTTTTCTGTCTATTTAAGAAGATAAAATATCCTAAGTAAGTTAGAGAAAAAGAACATAGCAAAAAAAAAAAACAGCTGGTATAGCATCTATTTAAAGTGCTGTTAAGGAAACTTCAGAACTGGTTGATGCCTTTATCTCACTGCTTTCCTCCTATTCCTTTGTGGTTTATTCCCATCCAGCTTGGGTGCTGTCATCAGACTTGGAACAGGGACTAGATAAGCAAAAGCCTTTCTGCCAAATTCAGCAAGCCTTTCTGCTCTGCCTTTGCAGTTAACATTGTGACCTGGCCTCTCCCCTCTACTCATCCGTGTCTTCATTAAAATGGAGTTCCTGGTGTGGGTCTGACATTGCTATAGTTAAAGAGTTCAAAGTCTGCCTCCATGGGAAAAAAATTCTACAGAAGGAGAAAGATATTAAATAAATAAAAAGACAACTATGACCTAGAATGGCAGGTAATGTAAATTGTGTGAGGAAAATAACATACAGGAGAGAACAATGGATGTCCCCTGAGCAATCTAACGCAGTTTCTCTCTATCTCCACATCTTCTTTTTCTTCTCTTAAGTCATTTCTCATCAATATGCCACCCTCCTCCTCTCTTGATATATGCTATAGATTTGTGTCTCATCCCCCAGCCCCAGTCCTTCTCTATGTTTCCCCCTAGTATCTTGGACCGTGCTGCCTAAAATTGCAGTTCACATTTATCATATCGCAAAGATATCCTCCCATGCCTTCCCCTTGCTTGATTATCTCCTTAGCACTTACCAATATCTACCATACACTACATTTCACTTATTCATTTTGTCGGTGGTCTGACCCTCCACTACTATGACAGTCCCACGAGGGCAGGGAAGATGCTCTTCTTTGTTTTCCCCTTTTGGGTTCCCCATGCCTTGGATAGTAATTGACAACATATAGAATGAAGGAAGAAGCAAGTCAGGAAGACATGAGTTGGTGATAGTGCTGGTCGGGCTGGTATGGGTCTAGTAGAGTTGAGGGAGTAGACACAATAAAGCAAAAGGCTTAGTCTTCCATCACTCTCTTCTAGTCTGTTATTTTTCTTCTCGGAATTTATATTACCCAATATTAGATCACTTTTTTGTTTGATTGTTTTAAGACAGGTTCTCATTGGGTAACCCAGCCTTGAACTATGATCTTCCTTCCCTTGACTCGCAAGGGTTAGGATTACAAGCATGTACTACCAAACCTGACTTACATTCCATGTTTAACTTTTTTACTTATTGAATGCCTCTTAGGGTGTTGAAAGTCAAGGAAGGTCCACATAGCTATACAGATTGAAGTCAGCATGGCTATAAAGATTGAGAGGAGTAGTGACATTAAGAACTCAAGAAAGATCAGATCAGGTCAACTCAGGTCATGGGAACCACAGCATGAACCATGAACTCTGTTCTAAGAATAGAAGAGGCCACCAGAACATTCAGAGGAGGAGAATGGCAAAATATGTTTTGCCATTTATGCTTGAGATGGAATATTCAGATTTTTCAGATTGTGGAGGCCAAGAGGAACAGCGAGGCAATTCATAAGGCCATTGTGCTGCCCTGGAAGAGCTGGACAGGGTACTAGCTGCAGAAATGGTAGAACATGCTCCATATAGTACAGTTGATTCTGTAAGACCACCCATGGGCTGAAAGCAGAATGTGAAAGGGAGAAATTCAAGATGATTGGCAGATTTGAGACCAAGTAACTGAATGGTGGTTGCATATGTTCAGTTACAAGAGCATAAAGATGTCTCTTGAAATTATTTTCTCTTAGCGTCTATAACCCTGTATGTCTTGGCTCTTCCTATGCAATGATTCCTTTCTGTCTGCTCTCAAGTCTTATAAGAATCTGTTGAATTTTTATGAGGTCAAGCTATGGCTTCATCAACACCATCACTCCCAAATTTTTACCTTTGCTACAGCTTTTTCCACAGCACTCTTACATGTGAATATCTTGTTGACATTCCAAATTCTTAGTGTTTTTCTCTGACCTTTTTGGCCTTTCCCTTTGTTCCAAATTATCACTGCAACACTACTCTGATTATTCTGTCTTTAATACCCTTTACCAAGCTTTTTATTTTTTGTTCCCTTGTTTTCTTAAGCTACTATTTTCAGGCAACCCACATATGATTTTTTTTCTTTTTTGGTTGGTCCTGTGGCTTGAACTCTGGGCCTAGGTGCTATCCCTCAGCTCTGCAGCTCAAGGCTAGTGCTCTTCCACTTCAGCCACAGCGCCACTCCTGGTTTTCTGGTGGCTAATTGGAGATAAGAGTCTCATGGACTT